TCTAGGTCGTTGGTGAAGATATTGAACAGAATTGGCCCCAGGATCAACCCCTGGGGCACTCCATTTGATAACAGCTGCCAACTAGACATTGAATCATTGACTACTACCTTCTGAGCCTGATGATCCAGCCAGTTGTCTACCCACTTTACAGTCCATTCATCTAGCCCATGAATTATATTTTACCAGTTACCAATATATACTTTACCAGTCCCAAAAAAACAATATAAACAGCAGCAGCAGCTTCAGAATATAAATACATTAAAAAAGGAAAACAAATGGCAACAACTCTTAGATAGGAAAGAAAGAAGTCTAATCACCATTAAAATATGATTACCCAGTCTTTTCACAACAAAAAGAAAAATAATTCAGTTCTGCAGAACAGAAATCTAACCTCCTGTCGAAAGTTATTTGCTGTTCTCTCCAGATGATCCATTTTTCTTTTGGATTTCATTGTGCTGTAACAAAAAACCAATGAAAATTATCATAATTACTACAACTGAAAGGCATTAATGTTCCTCTTAATGGTGTTTCTATTAAAAAGGCAATTTACCATATTAATCCATCCCCACATTTCAGATCACAGAACTCTAAACAAGAATTAAGATTAGTGGATAGTATAATTTATCTCATATTTAAACACATAATCTTAATATTGTGCTTAAAATATAACCAGGTGATTAGACTATTGCTAGTTCTTTAAAGCATGATCGGTTTTTATTATAACAATATTATTTTCTCACACTCCTGGAAAAATAAAATATTTAGCAGTGTTTGTAAAATGATAACCTACCCATTGCCTGTGCAGTAACAAGAAGCCGAGTTCCTCAACCACAACAATGCAGAACGAGCCGGAAAAATTCTAGCAGTACTTTGCAGTAACTGAGGAACAGCAAAAACTACAGAAAAAGCAGGGTGGACCATGATGCTCCTTTTTCAATTACCAGCTCCTGATAAATCAATTTAAAATAATGATGTAATAAGTACTTCTTACTCAGCTTGCTTGATTTCACCTATAGCTCAAGAGGCATTGTTCCGGTTTTGAACATTTCAGAATCTCCAAATACCCAATGACAACTTTTCCCTTATTCCAACCTATAAAACACGGCATGTTTTAATTAATTCTATGTTCTGTATCCAACAAGGATTTCATTCAAAATTGACCTTTTTTTTTTTTTTAGTGGTCCATGTGCAATCCCAGGAATGCGCAATGTGCAATTTGCTTATGTGCAATGTACTCATCCCAGGAAACTCACAAAGGAGGGTACCCACACCTCCAAAACAAAACCCACAAGCAATATTGTTATAGACTCAGTACAGAAAACAAGGATTGAACAGCCCTTCAGGTCATCACTGAGGCACAATGATGGAGCAAAGTGGAAAAACTATAGTGTACTGCCTCTGTTCTAGCTGTTCTGTTAATAAGCAAAGGATTTCAGTATTTATGGCTACTAAATTGGGCCCTTTCACAAGGATTAATTCAGCAGATACTAAACCTTTTACTTTCTTGTTCTTCCTTTATTCAAAAACAACTTCATATTGTTTCAAAATATAAATGGAAACATCACAATAGTGACTAGTGAGCTTTATATTCTAGATAATATTCATACTTGTAAATCCTTAAGAATGCATTTCTATCTTAAAATATGGTTTTAAGACTCCAGCCACTTTACTCCTGACAAAACAGCTATTGCAACCAAAGAAAAGAAAGAAAACCAAGTCTATTAGCAGATAACCAAATCAGCAAAGCTCATTAGTTTAAATGGTCCAGGAAGAGGCCCATATGGGAAGCTTACAAATACCTTTACTTTTTGACATTAAACTACAATATTTTTTTTAAAATATCATTTTTAGAATGTTGCCCCTTGCCTCTCTACCAGCTTTCTTAAACTCCTCCTCCCACTTAAAAATCATTATGCTGTATTCCTGAAAAGTACATCTTTTCCATCTTAGAAGGATTTTTATTTTTCATTTTGTATTCTTTACAATGGCAATGATCTAGCATGTTTGACTGATTATACTGTATGTTCGTAAGCTTTAACCAACAGCTGCACTGGCTGGTCACTTAGCAATTTATCCTGCTTATAATCTTGTGCAAATGGAAGACTGGGCTTTTCATCATTTCTGAGACATCTCAGAAATGGAAGGCATATAATACTACTCTTCAAAATGTCTAGTTTTAGACTTCAGAAATGTCTGCTATTGTTTTAACTGTACTTGAATAGTGATAACATAGCATTTAGGGCTGCTTGCAGATGTTTAAAAACCCCCACCAAAAATGGCAATTTTAAACTCAGCGTGCTCCCACACTGAAACCAGTACATGCCCAGAAGAGGCAGCATGTTAGTGGGACCTGGCTCACCCAATGGGTGTATTAGTGGGGCTTTTTTGGTGCTTTTATCTAATAGCTGATTGACTTGGCTTTAGATAAAAGCCCCAAAAAGCCCCACTGAAGTGCCTGATCTATACAGGCACTGCAGAGCCAGGCTGAAGTAACATGCTCCTGCTTCCCATAAAGTGCAGGGTTTTTTGGGGGGGTGCGTTTAACGCCTACAAGTAGCTTTACTTTTAATGCCCCGCTATTTTTTAATATTGAAATTTACAGAGATGGGTTTTGCTATTAAATATCAAAAAGGACTCTTAATATCTTTTTACTGTAACATATACTGTAGAATATAGGATAGATTACTGATGATCAATATTGCAAGCATTAAAGTGCCTAAGCTGTTTTTAGCAAGACATGATACAGGCCCAGTTAGGCAGTCATGTTCAATCATACCAGCCTGTTTTGCAATTCTGTAAGCCTTAAGTGTTCAAAAAAATCCTTCACCAGGCCCCAAAATATGAGATTTGTTTACAAAAATCTGATGATTTTAAACCAACATACATGTCCATTCTATATACTTGCCTTTTGTTTTCAGAGAGTCCACAGAACATTTGCTTCATGTTTTCAAGCTTTGCTGCACAACAATGAAGCCTAAATTTTTTTAAAGATGGTGGAGTCTCTTAGAAAACTGTTTATTATGGTAAATGGGACTTTTGTGATATCAAGTGTTTTTCTTAAACTCAAGAAAAAGTCATGAGAATTAGAAGGCTGGAGTCTGAGAGGTAAAGGACTCAAAGCAAATGAAGACTTTAGTCTTCTTTTGATGAAGCTTCTTTTCTGATTTCATATCTTTAAAAAAGTGCATGCAAGATAATTTCTACTAACAGTGACATCTGCTGGTAAGTAAATGGACCAACTTCAGAATCCCATCACAACTTTTGAGCAGCAGTTGACTTGTTTATCTTAAATGATTATGTGTTGAATGCATTTAGCTCCCCTCAACAATGTAAAGTTGAAGCAAACACTATTTACACTATCACTCCTTCATGCAATTGTGCCAGGGCAGGTATTTTTCAAAGTAAGACTGTAAAAACAGTAGTCATTTTAATAATGAAACTGGATACAAGGACAGATGGTAAGGCGGATGCACCCAGGAGATGAAATGGCTGAGACAGGCATGAACATTTGTAGGCTACATCCTAATTTGGCAAATGCTACAGTCCTTTCCTAGCATGTGAGAAACAACTGTATTTTCCCCACACCTATTTCATAGACATTAGGGCTGGAAAGGACCTCGTGAGGTCATCGGGTCCAGCCCCCTGCCCAAAGGGCAAGAAGTCAGCTGGGGTTAGATAACCCCAGCAAGATCCAGGCGTTTCTTAAAGGTATCCAAAGTTGGTGCTTGCACCACTTCTGGCGGGAGTGTGTTTCAGACTCGGGAGGCTCAGACAGTAAACAAGTATTTCCTTATGCCCAGTCTAAAGCTGTCTTCAAGCACTTTGTGACTGTTAGCCCTCGTCTTCCCTTGGGTGCCCAGGTGAATAGACATTCTCCCAGTTCCTGATGAACACCCTTTATACACTAATAGGCTGCCACCACGTCACCCCTGAGCCTTTGCTTCTCCAGGCTGAAAAGTATAACACGCACATGTAACATGCCCCTTCCCCCAAAAATTGGGGTGTGTGTTTGAAGAGGGGAAGCTCTTTGCTATCTTGGCAGGCACTGGCCTTACCAGGGAAGAAGAGTCCTGTTAGACCCCTCGCAGACCTAGCTATTGGCTGAGCACCGCCACCTCTGCCTGAAACAGCAAGTGAACCGTGGGCAACATCTTAGGGAGGCGGGTGACAGGAACTTGTGTGTACAGCCGTTTCTAGGTAGCCAGAACAGCCCGCTACTCTGGGGCCCAACCTGTGTGACACAGAGTAAGTCCTCCTGGGGCACAAGCGTCTAGGAAGTGGGGCAGCAAAAGTCACCGGCTGCTACACCAGGAAGTACCTGGACCGGCTGCGCCGCTGGAAGGACTCACTCTACGTCCTACTGCAACTCTTGTTCCCTCCGCGTTCCCCCCCGCCGCACAGGGCGGGCTTCGGAGAGACAATGTGGGCGGGCGGCTGCCTGTCGGAACCAACGAGTCTCTCCGGTCCCCTCCCCCACCCCTTCGCGTACAACTCCGGGGCCGGGAGCCGCCAACAGGCAACAAGGGCCCTACCAGCTACTGCCCCTCCCGCCGCGTGCGGACCCGGCACCCAACGGCCCTACCGGCACCCAACGGCCGTACCACGTGACGGGAAAAGGAGCAGCGCCGCAGTTACGTGACAAAGGTCGCGCGCACGCGCGCTGTCTTCTTTCATCCCACCCCCAACACTTCTTAGCCGTCCAAGCGGGGTGGAAGGAGGTGGCTCACGTGCGCGCTGCGCTCTGCTGTCACCTGAGGGTCCAAGAGCATTACTACTTAGGACGCATGCGCAGTGAAGGTTCTCTAAGAGTGCGGGGCGGGGGTGGATGCTAGTGATGTCCGGGATGGCAATGACGTCAGGGAGGGAGGGGGACCGCTGCCAGGCCCCTCCCCCATAGAGGGGGCTTGGCTACCCTCGGGCGCCTGCTCTGTCCGCATTGGCTCTCGGCGGTGTGACGTAAGTCTTAGTAGCACATGCGCGCTGAGCGCCATACAGGTCAGGGCGCAGGCCGTGAGGGGTGCAGCGCGCCTGCGCGGGGTGGCCGGGGGTCGAGGTCGGCGGTATGTCCGTGTTCCACGATGAGGTGGAGATCGAGGACTTCGAGTACGACGAGGAGACCGAGACCTACAGCTACCCTTGTCCCTGCGGGGACCGCTTCCTCATCTCCCGGGTAGGGGTGGTCGGGCCGGGCCGGGCCGGGCCGGGCCGGGCGGGGCGGGGCGGGGCGGGGGGTGCTGAGCGTTGATGACCGTTGGCCGCGCGCGGCCACCTGTGTTGCAGGAGGACTTGGAGAACGGCGAGGACGTGGCCACGTGCCCCAGCTGCTCGCTCCTCGTGCGCGTCATCTACGACCAGGTGAGGCGCTCGGGGCTGGCCGTGGCAGGCCGCTTCCCTACCGACCCTCTCAGGGCCCGGGGCGCTCGGCAGCCCTGCCCTCTCCCTCCCCCCCCCAGCTCCGTATCCAAACAAGCTTGTCTAGTTCTTTCTGCCCACCGGGGTGGGGCTACCTGGAGGAGAGTCCTGGTCAGCACCTGTTTCCTCTCCCCTTGGGCGCAGGCTCTGCTGGCACATGTCACGGGCCTGTGGTTTGCAGAGCATCATGAGTGTGATCTCGCACAGAAACTAGTTTTTGAATTCTTGCAATAAGGCTGTGAAATATGATCCAGCTGAAGGAATACCGCAGAAAGGAGTGAGGCTCAGAAGTTGATAGCAGATGCTCTAAAGGTGGGGGTTGGGGGGGGGTACCAAGCACAGCAGAGCAGGGTAGAGCACACCAACTGTGGGGATAGCAGTAGGAAGAAGTTAAAACACTGTTTGTTTTTTCTAGGAACAGTTTATGCGTGACGAAATAGTCTCAGAACCTACAACAAGCAAGGAATTGGTTAAATGCTGATGAATACTGTATGGACTCTGCTGCCGTTCAGTAAAAATATTGTGGGTATGTCAACGTGAAGAAGACCCAAAGAGTGTTTCTAAAGTGTTTGCTGCTACTCTTATCAAGCAGTTGTGTCAGTAGTTTGAGAGAGAATGAAATGAGACAGCAAAATGTTAGCAGACTTTGCACGTAAAGGAGCAAATAGTGACCGTAGAACATTGATTGTTCAGAACATCAATTAACTGGAAGGTTTTGCACAGTTTTAACAAAGAAAAATGTTGTGCTTGTCAGTAAAATAAGTTCTGTGTCCAGAATTCTGACTTGTACGAGTGTTCAGTAATCTGAGGCTCATTTTCTGGCATCAGACAGCACTTGGGTTTTGCTTGTTGAGATAACTGCTATTTACTAGTACTTTTGAGAAACTGAAGATCGCACTTCGCTATTGTAAGTTGTATGCAGTAGTCACACTTTTGCCAGGGTGCCCAAGCGGAAGTGTGTTGTTCTGTCCATGAAGCAGAAAGTTGAGATTTATAGAAAAGCTAAAGAAAGGGGAATCGGCCTCAAAACTATTGGACAACTATAATGTTGGTCTATCAACAGTTTATGTCTTGAAGAAAAACAGTACATCCATTATGAATTTTGTGTCAACTGGGGACAGCGGAGTAAGTGAAATAAGGAAATCCATGAAAAAGGCAGAGAATGCTCAGCT